GTTGTTGTTGTTTTTATTAATTGTTTTCTTCGACAAAATAAATAACTTGTAAAAAGAAGAAATATTAACGCAATTGTTGCAATTATTAATGAACTTATTAACCAGCCAACAAAACTTTTCTTGGTTATTATTCGTTCACGATATTCAGCGGGAATGTAATTTGTTTGATTTATCATATATCCAAGTGTCCAACCAACTTTACCTGATGGCAAATTTTGAGCAACACTTAATCGTTTTAAATCATCACCTTTAAAACCAATACCATATGTTAATAAAAGCCATATATATGTAGCATCAAAGCATAAATTTCGTTTATATGCTTCAGTAACGTTTGTCATTTGTTCTTGTTCATATAGTATTGAATATTCAGTTTCACACTAGATGAAAAAGTTAAATTTTAGAAAGATTATTCATTCAATAAAAAATAAAATCATTGGAGATTTGAAAAGAAATTTTCGATTATATGTATATATTTAATAAAATTCTCTAAGGTAATATATTTAATAAAAGCAAGAAAAAACTTGTGATGTAAACAGATTTGTTTTCTTCTTCTTCTTCTATACTTAGATGTGATCGAAAAAAAATATTAAATTTCTACTTACTACACTGTTAAGACGTTGAGCAAATTCTTCTTGTGGGAAATCTTTAAAGTCATATCGCTCAAGTGACTTATTTTTAGTTTTTGACATACCTAAAAATATCAATATTTTGTTTTCTATTATTTTTTCTTAATAAAAAACAACTTACCAAAAGCAAGACTATTAAATACATAATAATATCCCGATAAACCAATAAAACGTATATTTGATGGTATATACGGTTGAAATGCATGATCAAATGTACAATATTCTTGTTTATATGAACAATTAAATTTTTTATCATTACGTTTAGTATCAAATAAATTAATAAGAAGTTGACGACATTGACTATAATTTCCTGTTCCAACGAAGGTCAATGGTGCTTTATTGATATAATTAATCAACTTTTGTTTTTCATTAACTGTACATGGTGAACTAAAAATTTGAGTTAGTGGTAGCGTTTGATTGAAACCAGGAACGAAACATGGATCATCTATAGAAGGACTTGCTGAACTTGAAAATATTTTTGGATTTGTATCGATAGCAGCAGTGAGAAGACGAGCTCGATGACGTTTTAATCCTTCATTTTTACCCCAACATAAATAACTATGCGCATATGGATTATATGTATTGCCAAATAAAGAAATATTAGCTGAAAATTTATCTGGAACGGGTTCATTATTAATAGTTTTATTATCTAAATAAAAAAAATTATATTTTTTCTCGAAAGAATAAACAAAGCAAATCTTACAAGTAAATGTAACTTGAGTTGAAGCACCACCTAAATCAAGTACACCAATCATATCGGCATCAAGTTCGTTTTTTGGTTGAATTTTTTTCTGTGCATGTCGATGAGTTATCTTTTCTAATAAAACATTTGTTGTTATCCAACCATCAATAGCTTCTTCTATACCCGATAATATTCGTACCTGTAATAAATTGATCAAAATATTCTATTTTTTGTTTATATTAATCAACAAGAATAAACATTCGTTGATAATGAAGCACGCATTAGACACTTTGACTATATTAATAACAAAAACGCGACATATTAAATATAAACTAACCAAAAACAAAATCTATTTTTAACTTAAAACATAGCTATCGGAAGTTTGACATTCCTCAATAACTTCTGATATTACTGTATTTTACTCTAATGTTTACGCAAATCAACATCAATCATTTCTCATTTCTAAAGTATAGATTGATTATAGATATAATATTTCTGTCATCTTAAATGTTGATATATGTTTATGACAAATATGACGAATAGTTTTTATTACTACATATAGAAAAAAACATGTTATTTACTTGTCGAGCAACAACAAATTGAAATGGTGATCTTGAAAATATATCACGTATTGTTTCCAATATTTGTCTTCCTGCTTTTACATCACGCTTATTTAATAAACGCATACCAGCTGTTGCACCAAGAAATATTGGTGAAAATTTGTAACGATTTGCTGGAATTCTTTCTATAGCTTCTGTTAAACATGGTCGAAAATAATCTTCTAATTTATTAAGATTTTTTTCAAAATCAGATATAGCTTTAAGTTTAGTTGTTTCGCCTTTTATTGGATCCTTATATCTTATTGTGTCTAATTGACAAACAAAAAGTTCATTGACTGTTGATGTTGTACCTAAACCATTAGATTTATCAGCTGGCCAATAATAAACAAACATTTCTGTATGTGAACTACCAGCATCAAATACAATTGCATAATTAACAAATGGTGTTAAACGTGTATGATAAATGCTTATTAAATAAATCATAAGTATAATAGCAAATATAAATATTGCAAATACAACACCTTGTAAAAATCTTATTAGAGAACGTATATTATATCGTCGTTTTTGAACTTCCATAATTAAGATAAGATTTTCTTACTTCTAAAATATAGAACAAAAAAAATACGAGTTTTTATAAGTGATGAAAATCTATTTTATCTTTATCGATAAAATAAAGATTAATGACATTTCGATTTATAACATGTCGCTATTTTATAAGTAGAACAATTAATAGCATATATAAACAATACATATCTGTCTGTTGAATTAGTGTTGTAATTCTGTCTTCTCATAATCATCTATATTTGATCTATCTAGACAAAGTAATATGAGATTGAAGAATAAATAATACTGTGTAATACTTTTCTATTATTTTTCTCTAATGATTGCAAAAAATCAGTTATTTCTTACCTTAATAAGATTATACAAACTTTATGATTAATATCGAAATAGTGTTCTATATTCTATTCTTTCTTACTATTGAATGAATACGAAGTAACTTATAAATACTTAATCTTCTATCGGTAATTTTATAGATTAATATTTGTCATCTCAAAGAAAAAAAATAAGAAAAAGAAAATATTGTTTTCTATTGCTCATGTTAAAAAAATATTTTTGTCTCGTATTCTCACCTTCACGGTAGGGAAATCTTGTATTATAGTATTCTCTTGAGAGACATAGTTGACATATTATCAAACGATGTGATGCACGAGAAAGTGTTTGTTTTCTAGTATTCGATCTATGTAGTCTAACAGGCGTAGATTGTTCTTTTTTCTCTTATATATATATATATACGTATGTATGTATGTATGTGTATATACTTTCTCAGATGTATATTCTAAACACGAACGGAAATACACAAGAGAATCGTATGACGAAACATTCAACTAATATATATGTAGTCAGTGTTTCTAAATAATAAACATTATATACACATATATACAAGCACATGCGTAAACATGTGCCGGATTTTATGCGATTCCGACACAATTCGTATGACGTAAACGATCTCATTAGTAATGAGTAAATAATATAATACATTAACATAAAATTTACTAAAGCTTTTAGTTCAAATCATTGTCAACAATACGAGATCTAGGTCATCTATTTTTAATAAATAGAATCATACGTTTTAACACGAAATAGATTAACAAAACAAAGTACTAATGTATAGTCAATGACTCTAAATCAATGCATTTAATTCAATATATTTTAAAAGGAAATAAATGTAAGTTTTTTTTTAAATAATAAATGATCTAATTGTATTATTCATATAGTTAAATTTTCTAATATCTCATGGACTGTATTGAGAAGCATGCTAAACTATTATCAGCATTAAATAATCTTACACAACGGCTGTGTAAATATAGCATTAGATGTCTAGCAAAAACATGTACAATCCGTTATCTAAGATTCAAGAATATTGACAATCAATAGATGGTCTATTAACACTATCTTTCCTCAATGTCATTAACTAAACATCCAGATGCAATTAGAAAGTTTTTCGGAATAATATATATATATATAAATCATGGATAATCAATTTTAAATCAACTGTATAATGCTTGAAGATTTATATATACAGCTAATTAAAAAAAAAATAAACGAGACTAAACAAGAAATATTCATCTTATATATATAAAAAAGAAACCAAGAGCATTTAAAGAACTATGATAAGAAGAAAAAAATATACATTATCATGGACTACAACAGAATGTTTTTGTTGAGAAATAGAATTCTAATTAAGTAAAAGAAACCTATTAAATGATTATCAAGAACATCAAGTCTATATTCAGAATACTTATCTTACCTATAATCAATTTTCTATTAGATAAGATGATTGTATATCTATCTAACTTTGATCAAATTATGTATATTTCATGTAGCTTATTTATTCTGTAAATAATAATAAGAAATAAATGAATAGTCACTCTTATTTGTTAGTTTTTATATATGCTAATTAAAGATTACCACAATATTATGGTCTTCTATAGGTATCGTAACATTTTTTCATGTGTTTTTTATTATATGTAATGGTAAAATAACTACTGCAGAGTTTATCAATTGATCTATTGGTCATAAATATCACAGAAAATCGATTGATATTGCATATTAATCTTCTATTCAAATTAATGTTTATAGGAATTCTTTTTTTTATTCGATAAAAATTACAAAGATAAACATTAGTGTTATATATTTATTTAAACAAAAACGAAAAGAATAAGAAAAACTTCTATACAATTACTTATCTGTATAATCTATGCACATCACACTATAATAAGAGAATATACCAAAAATTAAGAAAACATATGGAACTACTTATATCATACTATCTTTCATTAGTGTTCTTCTTCATAAACTGTTTCTTACGTTTGAAACTAGAAAGAAGACTCGTGGAACAAATAAAAATAAACATACTTGAACTCATCGAAAAAGTCAGTATGAAATCATATGGTTCAATTGATCAATATGATATAAATCAAATATTATCAGAAGAAAATCACTCAACTACTTCATTCTCTTAGCAAATAAAAAACAAGCAGATGATACAACTCACGCACAGTAGGATATGATTGTATGGCAAATATTACAGAGATTCTTTTTTGTCATGATAGTATCTGGCATAAAAAAAGACTATAATTTAGCAAAATGCGATTAGCAATAGAATATGTCTAAATACATGTGGTACATTTATCTCTAAATGAAACAATCGATACAAAGATAGACCATATGTATCATTTTTGTATCTATATTGAAGAATACTATGGAATTTAGTTAGTTTAATTATAAATTAAGAATATTGATCTGGCATTTGTGTTAAGAAATGCTAATATTATTTTGATCTTAGTGTTAGAAGAATAATTGAATACTTTCTTCTTTCTCTTTTTCCTCTTAAACTAGTATTAACAAATTACTAATATCTAATATTATTATAGCATATGGATGTAGAGATGTCAATTCACTCTTAATAATACTCTTTATGTAATTGAATTTTTTCTGTATGATCTTTATTTTAAAAGCATTCTTATATCTATATTTAATTTTAAAATAAGTATACAATCACCATCAATTAATGATATAATAAGTTTAAACTAACTTTTTTATTGTAAACTAAGAATTTTCTATACCATATTGATAAATACGGAAAAACAAAATCTGTTTTATTTCTTCAAAAATATCAAATAAATAACTGAATTGTGTCAAGAATCTACATATAAAAACGCTCTCTTCTGTCTACAATTCTTGATATTCTACTAATTACAAAAGTAATAACCAAATGATATGCATATCGTTATTTATAACTGATATTCATTAACAGGTCCATTGAAAAATTTGAAAGAAAACTAATAATAAGAAAAAAAAAGTCTTCTCTTTCTTTTTTTTTGTAATGATATATAGCTTACCTATCAATAATTTAATAATGGAATTGATAAGAAAGAATTTGTAAAAATTAATTATATTATTACATGAATTGTATTATGAAAAGAAATGTACTCGATTTAAATGTTAATTAATACGAAGTGAATAAAGTTTTATTGTATGGTATATATATATATTAATTTTACTCATATAGACTGAATGACTTTTATTCATATAGATTGATTGTTAGCTATTGGTCATGTAAAAATATATAGAAATTGTATTAGCAAATTGATTTTAGAATATGTGTAAGAACTTACTCTATTTCGATTATTGTTGAAGAAATAATCGATTAGACTAATATAAATGTCATTAACTGAAAAAATTCTTTGTGGGAGAACGAGACTTTTTCAACAGATTTAGTTCTGCACTTCTTTTGACAGAAGAAATTATGTTCTAATTGATGTGATGGATAACAACGTGATCTTAATGTCCAGAGAGTTTAGTTAACGATGTAGATTCCTTCATGATTATAAACAACTGTAACGAAAGGAAGTGTGCATGTCAAAATAACTTTGAAGCATTTTTGAAATATATCGAGGTCTGATATACATAGACCTCTATCATTTTTGCTATAATCAATAACTATCAGCAACGACGACATATATTATTTGTCTACAACAATATCCAACCACATGCAATCTACGTATAAAGTCCATTATTATGCAAACTTTACATTTTACTATATAATCCTTATGAATCTATTATTGCAAAACAAATGTTGGTTACTCTTATAAATTTTAATTGATAAAACGAGGCTTTAAAAAAAAACTTTGCTTAGTGATGAGTCACTCATATTCGTTTTTTTTTCTTTTCTTCCTCCCACACTTTTTGCCACGTCCTATATCATTGCCATTAAAAAATGCTTGTTTCGTCGTTTTATTTTTATTATTTTGTAGATGAACATTTATTTTTGCGGAAGTATTCGAGGTGGACGACAAGATATTGCTATTTACCAACAAATTGTGACTTGTCTTAAAACATATGGTAGAGTTTTAACAGAACATGTTGCCTTTCCTGAATTAGAAATTTGTGAGTTAAAACAATAAAAATCATTTTTAACAAATATTATATATTTTTCTATAGCAGAAAAAACTTTGAATGATGCTGAAATTCTTGAACGTGATATGCAATGGTTATCTCAAGCTCAAATAGTAGTTGCTGAAGTAACACAACCATCTTTAGGTGTTGGTTTTGAAATAGCACGAGCTATTACTTTAAATAAACCTGTACTTTGCTTATTTCGGCCATCGAGTGGACATCGTAAGATGATTGATTCTTAACAAATATCCTTTTTTTTATTTGAAATTTTATTTAAAGGATTGTCAGCTTTAATACGTGGTGCAGCAAATAATCGTTCATTTTTCATTGGAAATTACGAAGAACGTGAACATTTCGAGAAATTTATACAAGATTTTATGGGTTATTGTTCGCAAAAGCGAACAGTTTGATATAAGATAAAGTTGTCTTCCTAATATAATGCTATGTTTACTTTTGTTTAAACTAGTCATCTCATAATCTGCATTTTTCAGATTGATTATTAAAATTATCTTTGAAAAAGAAAACTAAAAATGGGTCTAACATTTTCATCTCTCTTTCAACAATTATTCGGAAAAAAACAAATGAGAATTTTAATGGTTGGTCTTGATGCTGCTGGTTAGTTTTATTTGTATAAAAAATTTCTTTTTTCAATTTATCTGTTTTTCAGGTAAAACAACAATTCTTTATAAGCTTAAATTAGGTGAAATTGTAACAACAATTCCTACAATTGGTATGTAACATAAATTTCTTATAAAGATTATATATCTATTTTTCTTTTTCAATAGGTTTTAATGTTGAAACAGTAGAATATAAAAATATTAGTTTTACTGTTTGGGATGTTGGTGGTCAAGTAAATATTATTAATAAAATTTATTTTAGTATTTATTTTTTTCTTCTTTTATCTATAGGATAAAATTCGTCCATTATGGAGACATTATTTTCAAAATACACAAGGTCTTATTTTCGTTGTTGATAGTAATGATCGTGAACGTGTTGGTGAAGCACGTGATGAACTTCAACGAATGCTTTCAGAAGATGAACTTAAAGAAGCTACATTACTTATTTTCGCGAATAAACAAGTAAAAAACAAATAATTTTTCTTTTTTTTTCTTCTAAATATAATATTCTTATAGGATTTACCAAATGCCATGAATGCTGCTGAAATAACTGATAAATTAGGTCTCCATTCATTACGTAATCGTAATTGGTATATTCAAGCAACATGTGCTACAAGTGGTGATGGGCTTTATGAAGGTCTTGATTGGTTATCGAATCAATTAAAAAACGTGAAATAAATTGAACTAAAACTATTCCACTAATTTAATCTTTTATTGTGCTTATTGTTTTCTTTTTCTTAAATAAAAAAAGACTCATTATATATATACATATATACTAATTTTAAAGCATGATTTAGTAGATTTCACAAACTATTATTAACTATGTATTGAATGATATATGATTGTATGAGATGTAAAGAAATAGTTTTTATTTTTCAGAATGGAATCATGGCCATTAGAAGTTATCCGTGCATATGATAGGTTTGTCTAAAAAAAAAATTTCCCAATTTTGTTTTATTTATTGATAATTCTAAATGATATAATCAGGTCAAAATTTGGTCGCGATGAAATGAAAAAATATGAATTAGTAGTTTATAAACCTATCGAACCGATTTTACAAGATGGTCCACAGTAAGTAAAATAATTTATAATCATTTTCAATATTTCTTGTATTCGTTGGCAAGATGTGGAATTGTAGCTCTTGCAATGGCTATGAATATTAATTCATGTAATACAACAGTACAAAATATATTCAATAAAGCTAAAGAACTTTTATATACAATTCAAGGTGAATTATTTGATGGTAAAACTATTCTATCATTATCTTGGATATAAACTTTAGAAATATTAAATTCTAGCTCGTATTATTCCTGATCTATGTAAACAATTTAATCTAACAGCTACACTTCATCGATGGACAAATATTACTGATGTTATTGATTGTTTAAAATCACATCATGTTTGTCTTATACCGTATATATTAAAAGATTATTTTTCTTGATTCATATATCAATATGTATAGATTATCTTATTTTGTTAGATATGATTCTGATGCAAATCATGAACCATGCCTTAAAAAAGGTCATAAAGCTCATTGGCTTCTTGTACATGGTTATTTAAAAGAAATAACTACATCTACATCAAATGAAAATGATTTAGTATTAGTACAACATGGAAAAAGTAAATTTGTTGGTGCATTTTCACTACTGGACCTTTTTCGAAGTAATGGACAATTATTTGAAGTTGATCCTAAACGTCGAAATGAATCAGATTATTATGTACCACAAGATGGATCTCTTCAAGAATCATTGTGCAATTTATTTATTGCAATATAATTGAAAATAAAACTTTAATTAAATATCTGACAGATGGTTTTTATTGAAAAAGTTTTTGTATACTTTGAATAAATCAGTTTAATGTTCTCTTTTTTTATAAAACTTAAGACAAAGATATTTACGTATTGATTATTTTCTTCATATTTATCAACTATATGAAAATTCTTTTTATGATTGCTTAGTAACATACTTATTTTTTTTCATCTTTACAAGTGCGACATCTGACAATATTTTACCAATAATGATCCAAAATACATATAGTTGTAAATAAACAACAGTACCTGTTGTGATTTTGAAAAAAAAGGTGATTATTTATTGTTAGTATTTATTATAAATTATAATACCATGACTTTATTCGAAGGTACACTTCGTAAGTGGACAAATGTTCTGCAAGGCTGGCAAAATCGATTTTTTGTTCTTGATCCTACACAAGGAAAACTTATTTATTATACAGTATGAGATAAAAAATTGTCATTTTTATTGATATTCACATGATGATCTATTTTTTAGTCTACACAACATTTGGTTAAAAACGAGCAACGTGGTGTTATCTTATTAAAGGTGAATCATCAATCAAACTTTTGTTTATTTCTTACATGGATTTAATTATTCCAGGGAGTACATATAGGTATTGATACTGAAGATGGTAGTACAGTAAGAAGATATATATGTATATATATAAAATTCTAGTTATGTATTTTTTTAGTTTACAATACGAACTGACGGTAACACATTCCATTTTCAAGGTATTGTTTAATGTCCTTTATCTTATCTTAAAGTCAACTGTTTTGTTTCTATTCGTTGTTTGTAGCTCGTGATACTGAAGAAAGACAAAAATGGATACGTAATCTTGAAGATGCTATTAGTTTTAATACTGTTAATACTGTATGTTTTTTTAGCGTTCTTTCTATTTTTCATAAAAAAAGAAAAAAATATTTTGTTTATCAGGAGAAATTCACACTTTCGAATACAACACTTTTTCAAAGTAAAATCTTAGAAGCTGATCAATTTTTACAATTATTAATTAAAGAAGTAGATGTAAGAATTTCAATTTATTATATTTACTTATTTTTCTAGAAGATTTAAATTCCAGGAATTAGAACAACTTAGTAGTCAATTACAAGATAACCATCAACAACAATGTTATAATCATATTATCATATCTGCCAAAGTATATAAATTAAAAAAAAAAATAAAATGTCATGTCTTGTTTTTCTTTTCTGTAGAGATTAATCGAAGCTGTTAAATATTCTATTGTGTCACTTCAATTAGCAAAAGTAAATATGATAATAATTAGTTACCGCTATATTATAGACTGTAGATATTAACCTTATTCTTAATATATAGTGATATGTATTTAAAATATAGAATAATTCTAACTCATAAATAAAAACTTACATCTTCATTATAATCTATTGTAAATTTAATTTTTCAGTTATGTATATGAGTGATTAGTACACTGTATATATCGTATCATAATCAAATTCCATTTGTCGTTTATTCCCACGTATTCTCAAAAGAGAATCTTTCTATTCCGCAGATACTTTTTCTGCGTTCTAAATTTGTGACAATCGAAGAAATCTTATATATATATATGTTATAGTTTTTTTCTCCAACATCCTTTGAACAATCTGCTATAGCAGAAGAGTTTTTAAAATCGGTAGGGATTAACCATTGGGAAAATAGTTATAACTAATCTTTGCTCTTAATTACTTATAATTGGCATATTATATCTAACATGAAATAAAAACAATCTTTAGGTCCAGATGAATCCATTAAATGAAGTTCAAACTGATGCAGATTGTCAGGCTTTATCAGCCATTATAAATACTAATAAAAGTAAAAAAAAACAAAAATTTCTTTTCATTTCAATAATTATTTTGTTTTTCTTCATTCAGTAGATGAAATCCCTGATACTAATAATCGTAATGATAATGAAACATCATTAAGTACTACAGAATCTACTGTTCGTAATGATACGGATGACAAAAATACTGAAGACAACATTCCACTTGAATGTATGTTATAGATTTATTGCTTATATCAATTTAAATTATGTTAACTTTTTATAATAGCATTAGATATTCAAACAGATGTAAAAACTGATCAAACACAACTTCCAGTCTCATCTAATTCGATTAGTGATGATGACGATGATGATAATGATTTCTACGATGCCGATGACGTAATGGAGTAAGAGATTTTTATTTATTTCTTCATAATATTTCTCGTTATGCTACTGTGAAAGTTTACATGAAATTTGATTTCTTTATTTAGTGAACCAGTTTTGACATCATCTTTAACAGATCGAACACGTAAAACATCGTAAGAAGAAAATAAGAATTCATCAATGAATAATTATTATTTCTTTGTCATGTTTTAGACAGACAAATAATTCAGAAATTCCATTTGAACAATATGAAGCAGCATGTGAAGAATCATCTGAAGAAGATCGTAAGTTTCTTTTTTTTCTAGTATAATGCATTAACTATTCTATTTATTTTCTGCTAGTTGCACCGATTGATGGAACTATTATTTCACATCTGATCTCTCAAGTAAATATAACATATTGAACATAGATCTAATGAATCGTAGTATTTATACTTAGAAAGATAATACAAGGGAATTGAAAGTGACTAATAAATAATTGAAGTCTTGTTTCTTTATTGGCACATATATATGAAACCCGTCGAAATTCTGACAGAAAATCAGTTTTTTGATATTTAAATCTTATGGTTATTGTGAGTAGTAGTAGATCCGATTTACCTTTCGAAATAGTTTTGGTGCTAATCACATCTCAAAGAAAGACTGAATGATAATATATCGATTTTGCTTACTTCTTTTTACTATGTAAAAAATAATCATTGAGAACTTGTTTTGTTAAGGCTCGTATATCAATGGATTTAACTAAAATAACACTACCAACATTTATTCTTGAACGACGCTCATTTCTTGAAATGCTTGCTGATTTTCTTGCTCATCCAGATGAATTTGTTAAGTAAGAGTAAATACTCTAATAGATTATATTCAAATTATTGTTTTGTATTTTTCATCTAGAATTGCAGATTATGAAACACCACGTGAACGTTTTATTCAAGTTGTTAAGTGGTATTTATCTGCCTTTCATGCTGGTCGAAAAAGTGCCGTACCTAAAAAACCTTATAATCCAATTCTTGGTGAAATCTTTCAATGTTCATATGATATTAATTTAACACCTTCTTCTAATGTTTGTCATATTTTTCCATATATGAATCTAGTTCGTTTTCTTAAATGTGTACTATTTGTTTTAGACAACGATAGTAAAAGATGGTCCTGTTCCTTGGGCACCAGATAATCAAGTTACTTTTATTGCTGAACAGACATCTCATCATCCTCCAAGTAATAAAATTCAATCAAATTATTAATAATATTCAAGAAATTTATTTTTCTAGTTGCTTCTTTTTATGCTGAATGTCCAGCAAAACATATCCAAATCGATGGATGTCTTTGGACAAGATCAAAATTTCTTGGTCTTTCTGTTGGTGTTCATATGATTGGTGATGCAACAATTACATTACTTGATCATGACGAACAATATGTTATTACTTTTCCAAGTGCTTTTGGCCGGTAGAATTCAAATAAATTCTTTTTTTTTATATTAAATCATTCTTCATTCTAATCATTTAGTTCTATTCTTGGTGTTCCTTGGTTTGAAATGGGTGGTAAAATAACAATTACTTGTGAAAAAACAGGCTATACAGCTAATATAGATTTCTTACAAAAAGTATGTTTTTTCAAAAATCTTTATTAGAAAACATATTCTTAAAGAAGATAGACTAAAGATTCCAGTTAGATTGAGAAAACTCAAGTAGTATTTGTGTTTACTTTATCGAGACATTCAACTATCAAAAGAAAGTTATTTTTCATAAAAAGATCCAATATCCGAAGACTGTGTTTGTCCTTCCGAGATCGTTTTTGACCCCTCTGAGGTAAATTTAAGCTTACTATTAACGAGGTTCTATGGATTAATTTAACTAGATGGAAAATTTTAATCATGATTTGTATTTTCTCTATAATAGCCATTTTTAAATGGGAAAAAACATCAAATTACTGGTATTTTATATGGTCCCGATAAGAAAGAGTTTTGTAGAATTGATGGTGAATGGAATGGTATAATGAATGCGAAATATAGTGATACAAAAATTTCAGAAGTTTTCTTTGATACAAAAGCAACACCAGTTATTAAAAAAATTGTGCGACCAATTATTGATCAAGATACAAATGAAAGTCGTCGGTATGTTTTTCTATTATTGACAAATTCAAAATAATAATAAATATTGATTTTATTATCATTTCTTTTTTGAAGTATGTGGAAAGATGTAACTTATTATTTAAAATCTAAACAACTCGATAAAGCAACAGGAGCAAAATCATTTCTTGAACATCGACAACGTACAGAAGCTAAAGAACGTCTTGAAAATTCACTTAAATGGGAAACAAAAGTAAATGATTATTTAATATATCATTGATTCATAATTGAGTTTATAATTTTTTTTTGTAGCATTTTTCTGAATCAGGCGAATTAAAATGGACCTACGCAAATAAATTATCTAAACGATTAAACTCGCAATCTTAGTTTTAAAACCGACGATATTGTTTTTTTTTCAATTTTTATTGTTTTTTTGATTTTATCTCTTTTTTTTGTGTATTTTTAATTACGTACACATGATTATTTCCGATTATAACCGAGTGATATTGTAATCTATCTCACTCTGTCAGATTGGACTTGATGTTTTTTATTCAAGGAAGAAAAAATATCTAAAAAATAAGAAGACATCTACGCGTATTGGTGCTAGGATTGACATCTGTATATTCTTTCCTTTTTTTAAATTATTAATATATTATTCTTCTATATGTGCATTATTTAGATAATCTTTTTGAAA